TACTCAGTTCTACTTGACAGTATCAGGGAAGAGGTGAATCCTGGCTACAGAGCCCCGGCTTGAACGAACCCTCTGGCTGTCATTCTCTGTAACCAGACTGCATTGCTATGAAGAGAGCTTTGCAAGCAAAAGAACCACGGTGTAAATATTTGCTTGAATAAACGCAGATATATGAGGCAAACAGCCAGGAGCATAAAATGGCAGCTGAGAATCCTAAGAACATGACATTCACAGCATTATGCTATGTTACACTAAAATCTTAATGTAAAAATAGATGATGAGAATAACAGCAAGGGGAAATGATGGTTTTATGATTATGTCTGTAAGAGGGAAATGAGAGAGTGTTTGAAATGATATTCTTATCTGGTCAGGGAGCCTGTGGTTTGTAATGAATTAGAAATTGCAGGGAGGAAGTCATTCGTGAGATTTCTAGCCTACAGCATTCTGAAATATTTTTAATATTTAGAATTTTAAAGAGCATTTCATGTGAGTATAATTTTACCTTGAAAAATGACACATCATAATTTAGATCTTTTCTCTTAAGTAGATCTAACATTTTATAATCCCTATCATAAAAGTCTCCCAATCAGAAGGAATGGGTATGTTGTCCTAATACTGTCACTTATCAAGTTGCATTAGAACAATTCCAGTATGACTAGTGCCCTGATTGGAAACTCAGAGCATTAAAACAAGATCCAGTGTCTGTTTCCCACCTTCAGAAAGCTGTTCGATTGGGTGGCACTTCACAGATACCATTTGGTGTGAACAAACAAACACTCCCCAGTGGACCAAAATAATTTTGAGTAATGCAGTCATGCTAAGAAAAAGAACTATTGTATAAACACAGGGCCAAAATAGCTCAGTAAATGACTCTGGCTGAAGGTTTCCAAAATTTACTGTTCATCACAAACTATGGTTGCTATATGCAAATGGCTTCTCTACAATAGTTGGCAGCAAGTCTGTGCAAAACCTCACTAAGTTCAGAATACAGAGTCAGCTGGCAAGGCATATTATTTAAAAACTCTCAGTGAACAGTTTCTCATGCTTGGAGGCCACTGAAGAAATAATAAGGCCTCCTTTGGCCTTATCAGAGAGCATTTAAAGTCAATTGAAGTTGTTTTTGAGAAAGTCTTTGGCTATTTTTGACAGGGGTTTGTGTATCGATGGCTGGCTGTGAACTCATTGTGTGGTTGAGGATGACTGAAATGCTTTTGTTTAAATTAACTACTTAATTTTTTTTTCTGTTTGTTTTGCAGGTCTGTGTGGTGATGGGCATATGTATGGAGGCATGTGTGGTGGTGGGCATATATGTATGGAGGTGTGTGTGGTCAGAGGACAGTGTGCAGGAGTTGGTCCTCTCCTTTAACCATGTAGATTTTAGGGATCAAATTCAGCTGTCAGCCTTGGTGGCAGGTATCTCCCTGCTCTGCCATTTGCTGCCCCAAGTCTTTACTTCTTCACTGTACCATTGATGATATTTGCCTAGGAATCTCAGGGGAGGGATGCTTGAAACTAAGAAAATGGACCACTGGAGTTGTATTGCTGACCTCCCCTCTTTCCCCACTGTGACCCAGCTCTGTCTGAAGTGAAAGATTTCCTTCTTGCCTGCCACTCTGAGCCCTTAGTGTTTCCTCTACCTCTGTCACCAGGCTGGACTAAAGTGTGAGAAGTGATAAGCAGATAGGATGGCCGTGTGTGTGTGTGTGTGTGTGTGTGTGTGTGTGTGTGTGTGTGTGTGTGTCTGTCATGTGTAAATGTAAGTTACCAGCTTCCTCCTTTCTTTATCACTCCTATTAATTCCATTAAAAACAAAAACAGGAAGATGAGAAACAGAGAAAGTGACCTTCCTCCAGGCAGGGAGAGCAGGTCTTTCAAAGAGGAAGTGTGGTCAGTCAAGGATTCCAGGGATAGGAAAGAGGAGCCTTGCAGCCAGATGCGGCTGTGCCTTCCCAGTTCCTTCCAGGCTGGGCACAAGTGCTGAGGCCTGGACACACTCAACCCTGCCTGACCTGGGGGCACGGCCACATTTGTGGAGGCCATATGCAGAGGATGAAGCATCGAGCTTCTGGACCCTGCTGTGGAACCTCTTGCTTTGTTTTCTGAAAGGCAGAAGTACCACACCTTCTCCTGGAGGAGGAGAGGTGGTCCACGAGGGTGGCTGCTGCTGTCCTGTTCCTCTTTCCTCCCAAGAGGAGGCACATCTCTTGCTTGTTTCCCTCCCCTTCTCCCACAGGTGGAGCATCTTGAGTTTTAAGCTTTGGAAGTACCAAAGCTCATAGACACCGGGTGAGAAAAACTGTTGGTGGTACTTTCTCAAGCACAGCTGAAGTCAATCTTCATTTCTGGGTTGAACTAGAATATCCTGAGAGGACACACATGGTACAGCAGTGCTCTATCACAACTGTCCCTGTGGGCTCCCTAGAGTGTCGAGATGAAATTAGCCTGGTCCAGGACAGACATGAGGACTCACCTCACTTGCTGCTGGCTGTTTAAGGATGGTGATTTCCTTCCTCCATGATACCTTCCCTTCGATAATTCCAAGACGAAGTATCTATGCAGTCTTAGCACCAGGAAGCCAGGGGACCATCTTCCCCAGCTAGGTATCTAGTTTTATTGGTTTGCTTTTGTGGTTTGGAAACAGCATCACTCACTCTGTAACTCAGGCTGGCCTTGAACTCACAGTGATTCTCCTGCCTCAGCATCTTGAATGCTGGGATTGCTGTCTTGAGCATGGTTTCATGAGCACATTTTTATTCAGCGACTGCTGAGTCTTCTATGTCTGTTTCTCTGCTTCATATTGGCTGCCAGAGCACTTAGAATCACACTGCAGGCACTTTCTGTTTTATCCTAACCCCTGTTTAAGCTTAATTTTTGTATTTGGTTTTTCTTGGCTTCACTTCAACATACGGACCTTTATTTAATTTGGAAACAGGGCCTCATAAAGCAGTCTGGCTTAGACATGTTCTTGTACCCCAAGATGGCCCTTAATTCCCGACCCTTCTGCTTCACACTCCTGAGAGATGTCTTGTTTCTAATTTCATCTGGCAAAGTTGCCTGTGTCTGTAGGAGCTGTTCTCACCGTCACATACACAAACTCAGGGCCAAAGAAAGAAGTACCCACAAACCACTTGTACTTGATCAAGCTTCCCACGGGGAATTTTCTGGACAGAGGCCATGTGTTCACTAGAAAGATTAGCTCCTACTTCACTTTGAGTTGCTACTTGGGTCCTTTTAAGAGGCTTCTGTGTGTCTGTCTGTAAGCCTGACCATGCTTATCTCCTTTCTTCCTGCCATACCATGTCTCAGGTGCATTAATCTTCCTTTCTTTTCTTTTCATCTTCTTTTTTTTCCCCTCGAGGCAGGCTTTCTCTGTGGAACAGCCCTGGCTGTCCTGTAACTCTCTGTAGACTGGGCTGGCCTTGAACTCAGACATCTGCCTACCACTGCCTCCCAAGTGCGGGATTAAAGGAATGAACCAATTTCCAACTGCTAGATACGCTAGCATTTCACTTTTCCGATCTTGTTCTCCCTTTGGGTCTTTGTGATGTGTGCCACTGTTTGGGACCCTCTTCCCCTCCCTAACCAGCCTCTTTCTTATTCATCACAGCCATAGCTGCACTTCTAAAAAAATTGAGGGGTGGGCATGAAAAATAATGAGATCTTTGTAGGTGGCATTTTGGAACTGATAACAACATCAACACCTCAGACATTCTAATTTTCGGCTTAGTTTCAAGCTTTGTCTTCCATGTGAGCCACTCACACCACCTCTAAGATACATCTGTTGTGTTGCTATTGGGTTGATTTCTCTGATTCTGTTTTAACAGTTGCTTTAATTTGGTATTATAGATTCTATTTGGATTTTTTTTTGTCTTCCAACCCTTCCTTCCTAGGGTTTTAGTGCTGTAAGGATAGAACCTGTCTGCCTAGAGTTTTGTGCATTTCCCTGCACATAATATCAGTCATAACAGTGTTCCAAGTCCAGGTGTGCCCCTGGTTGCACTCTAGCACCAAATACCCTTTTGTACTGTTGACTTGAATGTCATTGATTTTTGTGTTTATGACATTTTGAGAAAGATACTTTCCCAGGCAGTAGCATTTACAGTGATTCAGGACTCAGGGTGTAGGGACATGGATTGGAGGACGGTCAAATGGCTGGCCTAGGTGTTTTGGCTGTAGTCTACATCGTTGCAGATGGTCTCTACGTCTGGGTAGCACAGAGGGATGGGGCAAGTATAATTGTGTTTTTAGGCAAATAATGAAACTCAGAGGAGTCTGAAAACGGCTCAGAGTCCAGTACCTCCCAGCACAGGTGCCGTGCTGTGTCGGTTGCTTGAGCTTTTGCTGTGGCTCAGCCTGTTCTTTTTAAACCGTTACTAATACTAGCAGCACAATCCGTTATTAGTAAAGCGAACCCACCTCCTGTCTTCGGCCAGGCTGGACTCCTTGTGTAGCTGAGGATGTCCTTGAACAAGGTCTTCTTTTTTTTTTTTTTTTTTTTTTTTCTTCTGTATAGGGACTGTCTATGTAGGCATGGTTGTTCTGGAACTCTCTATGTAGGCCAGACTGGCCTTGAACTCACAAAGATCCATTTGCTTTTTGCCTCTTGGGTCCTGAAGTTAAAGATGTACATCATTATGCCTGGCAACATTACATTTCTGATCCTTTGGGATGCTGGGATCATAGGGGTATGCTACTGCATATGGTTTTGTTCAATACAGGGCATCAAAACCAGGGCCAGGCAAGTACTCTATCCACTGACTCCATTCTTAGCCAGAAGTTATGGTTGAAGGTGCTTTTACCTAAGCTTTAATTAACCAAGACCAGTTAGTGCAGTGAAATTATTTTTCTTTCGTTTCACTTCCTTAAAGAACCATCCTGGCTTCCCCCGCTTCCTTTCCTCACTTGTATGTAGGTGACTTGGGGTTGGAAACAGGAGGGACCCAGGAGAAGAAATGATTAAGGAAGGATAAAATAAAAATTAATTAAACACAAATCCAGCCATGCAGCAAAAGACCACTTCTGCCTTTCGGCTGGGTAGGTTTCATTCTCACAGCAGGAGGTGCACATGTACACACACCCCTAAACCCACGCAGACGAAACCCCACTGTGGAGAGGATGGTGACAGGAAACTCACTTCTGCACAGGAACTTGCTAATCGCTTTTGCCGCTTTTGGAGTGTTCCTGCTGCCGCCTGAGTCACCTCAAACACCGCGGCCCGCTAGCTCTGGCTGGACTGTGCCAGTCCAGTGTTGCTGTCCTTCCCGTGTCATTTGCAGGAAGCCGTGAGAGGAGAGAGAGGTGGATGCCAGGAGGAACTCAGCGCTGATGGGGCTTCAGATACATTAGTTTTCACAGCGCTGTGGGGAGCAACTCAGACTTCCGGAGTCAGGCATCTTGGTGTTGAGACATTCTTTTGATATTCTACGACAGGTAAGACTTTCGTCTCTTTGGAAATGATTCTTCAGGGTTCGGAGAATCTCTGCTGTTTTGTTGAGGTTTTTTTTTCCCCCTTGACGCTGTACATTGTAATTACCTTGTTTTATCCATTGTAAAGCACAGACCAAACTTAGACGTGGGGCTGCGCTCTGCGGGGTACTCCCTCTCCAAAGTTGTCACAAGACATGACTAGGTTTTCTTGTCATTTTTGCTTTGTTTTTGTTTTGAGATGAAGTCTCATGTCGTCTAAGCTGGCAGATAAGTAGTCAAGAATGGACTTGAATTTCTGTTCCTCCTGTTTCCACCTTCCAAGTGCAGGGATTACAGGTGTGTGCCACCAAACCTGGAAGGTCAGGCATAGTTCTGAAACATTAAAAATGTGATTCTTTTGATTTCTGAGGGGTTCTCACAAATTGAAAATGCCTGTCCTTGGGGCTGTGTCTGAGCTTGCTTGTGTGGGAACTTTAAACATCACATAGTGGCTTTGATAAAGTAAATCTCCGACTTCCAGAGATAACAGTTTTAAAGTTATCTAACCAGGTAAATAAATAAAATCAAAACAAAACCCACATAGATTAGGGTCCAGAATTGCTACCTAGTTATCCTCAATGCTAATAGTCCCTTTCTATACCTTTCTATTACATTTAGTTTCTGAGGTGGTTTCATTGCCTGGGTTGTAGCAACAACAGCAGCAGCCACAACAACAAAAACTCAGGAAGTCACCGCTTGTAGGTGCTTTGCTAAATTAAAGCCATGACTGACATATTCATGCAAGAAGTAGTTGACGAGCACTTACCTGTTCTAAGATGGTGTGCGAGAGAGAAGAGAACGCTATGGAAACCCATTCTGTGGCGGACCTTAGACTCTAGTCGTCACACTGAAAAGTACTGTTTGGGAAACAGTAGAAGAGGGAGAGGATGACAGAGGCTCTCCATGCTGTAAGGCTTCAAGAAGGGTATAGGAGTGAGCTGGAGCAGTCAGGGCTTCAGAAGGGTGGGAACTTAGAAGATGGACGAGAGGACGGTTGTTTTAGACCTGGAGGGCCATACATAAAGAGGAGACTATCCGGCCCAGTTAGAGAGACTGGCCCAAGAAGAGAAGAAAGTTTACCCAGGGCAGGAATAGGGTTAGAAAGACAGGGTGTGGGCCAATTGGAGGGGCCAATAAGAATAGATTGGATTTGGCAGTTTTCTAGCCTCCTTTAGCCATTTTCAGAGAGACTCAATCAACTTTGCATCCTTGGGCTGCCTTCTGCTTGCTCATGACTGTTTTGTGATCTTGGGCCTCTTGGGCCTCCAGCATTGTTCCTTAGAACATTGTAGATGCAGAGAAAGGCCCGTAGGTAACATCCATGGCTGTTTTTCCCATTTTAAGAAGACTTTGAATCATCTGGTACCACAGGTGGCTTTCCTCATGGGATGTTGAATAGGTGGATAAACAAGTCTCCGTCCCTGAAAAATGCTCCTTTAAACATTCCATGAATGTCCCTTGTGCAGAGTGGGCCATTTCCATGGACATTCCTTTGGAGAGACACTATTATAATGATTCCCGGACCACAGAGACTGGAATCTAAATAACAGTAAGATGAGCAAGAACTTGGAGCCAAAGGGCTCATATTGAGCCCTGGCTCTGTTATTTCTGAACTGTGGGAAACCTCAGATAGGTTACTGAAATTCTTCAACATTCCTGTTTTTTGACTTTGTTTTTATAAGACAGCTCTAACAACAGTAGTAATAAGTGAAAATTGTTACCTCAAAAGGTTGTTGTTGAGATGAAATATACAAGGTGCTTAACTTAGTGTCTAGCTTGCAATAAACTCTCCAAGGGTCAGCCCTTGGGACTTGTAAAGACTTGGTTATGGACACAAAAGAAAATAAGCTGATTGCTTGCCTGATAGCAACCTGTCTACAAACTTGTTTATTAAACACAATATTCAGGTGACACACTAGACCCAGGGTTTAGATATTTTATAGTGTTAACATGTGAAAAGAACAGATTAGGTAGAGATGTCCTCAGCCTTCCCACTTCAGCTCCTCCAACTGCCTCCCCTCTGAGCATCTGCAGATGTTTGAGAACATCTGGATGGATGTCTGAAGGCTATAGGTAGAATTACAGAGGTTCTTGGAATCTGAGGCAGAGAGAAGGGTTTATTTCTTGGCCCAGTTTAAGTTAAATTGTATAATTTTAATATTTTAGTTGCAATGCTAGCAAGACACAGCTGAAAATCCATTCCTTCTCCTCAGTTGGGAGACTCTTGACAATGAAGTTCTTGAAGTATTTCTTCTGGGTCTGGATGCTTAGGTCCGGTGAAAGCCCAGGTTCAAAGCTTTCCCTTTCCTCTAAATGACAGGTCCGTCTGGATTAGAAAGGCCTTCTTTTAGAAGTGCAGTGACAGCTGTATGCTAATTATGAAGCTGATTCTCAGTTATGTGTCCAGATTGGTCAAATAGCGAAGATGTTGCTTTCCTTCTGGAGACCTGAGAATGTGAGGGGGAGATTCTGGGGCTCTAACTAGAGAAAGATGGGGGCAATCAGAAAGGGGGCCCTGGAAGGGATCTGGAAGGTAGTGTGGCAATATTAGGGGATGAACTGGTCCGTGAGAGGAGGTCTTAAGTGATGGAAGGTGTGGCTAGAGGGAAGAGCACCTGGCCTTGGCCTCGCCTGTCATTTCACTCCAGCAGCTGCTTGACCAGGGGAGCAATCTCTTGGCAGTCCACTCTAGGAACTGTCGAGCTGTTCTGTGATAGAGTCGATTAGTCTGGTTCTGGCTGGATCTTAAAATCATGCAGGGAGCTTTCATTCTTTTGTGTCATACTATAGTCCTGGAATACATAGGGTCCCAGAATCTGTGTGATCAAAAACACAAGCCCTGAAATGTCAGGGAACCGGTGGCTTTATGGAAGGTGACCTAAGAGCCATTAAATGACACCCTCTCTCAGCAGCCCCCACATGGCAAGATGGTAGCTGGAGACAGTGCTGTGACGAGGGGGACCGCCCTCTCTGTTGTGATTGACATTCGAACACCGAAGAGTGTTTTCATTTGTCCTAAATTTATTTCTTGAGATAAGTTTCTGGGAGTAAGATGACTGGATCACGGGTGTGAACATTTTTACCTCAATCCTATTTTCATAAGGTGCCTTCTTTAAAACCTCTATAGCAGTGGTTCTCAGCCTTCCAAAAGCTGCAGCCCTTTTAATACAGTTCCTTATGATGTGACCCCAACCATCCAATTATTTTATTGCTACATCATAACTGTAATTTTGCTACTATTATGAATTGTAATGTAAGTATCTCATATTCAGGATATCTGATCTGTGACCCCCAAAGGAGTCATGACCCACAATTTGAGAATCACTGCTCTAAGATGTTGCATGAACGTAGAAGCAGACAGTATTACTCTGCAGGAGCTCAAAGAAAGACATTTATTATCAAGGAGAAAGTGCCCAATCAGTCCTCTCTTTCTTTTCCTGTAGAATGGAACGGAGAAAGTGCCCAATCAGTCCTCTCTTTCTTTTCCTGTAGAATGGAATGTTGGGAAGGAGTTTCCAGAGCATTGCTACGTGCTTCTGGTGTAAGCTGGGGCCTTCTGATATTGCCAGTTGGTTTCTGGTAAAACTGAAATCAGCAGTGACCTCTTCCCCATTTCCTAGAAGAGCCTGATGAGGTAACAGGCCTTGTCTCACCGCACCCCTGCGAGCTATGCATCATCACTCATTCAGTTTATTGTTGGAGTAACCGGGTACTTGCATACATGACCTCATGGAAAATGATATCACAAAATAAACACACTCAATGAATTGGTTAATCAAGCCCCACAAAACAATAGTATTGCGCTATTTTTTATGTTATATTGGTTATTTACATAATCTGTTGACAAAAACCCTTGTTTGTTGAACAGATGAGAATAAGAAACTTTTCAGGGCCTTTCATTAAAAAAAAATTTCATGGGCAGTGGTGGCACATGTCTTTAATCCCAAAACTCGGGAGGCAGAGGCAGGAGGATCTCTGTGAGTTCAAGGCCAGTTTGGTCTACAAAAAAATTCAGGAAACCCTGTCTCAACAAAACAAAAAGCAAGCCAATAAGAAAGAAACAGAGAGAGAGAGAGAGAGAGAGAGAGAGAGAGAGAGAGAGAGACAGAGAGAGACAGAGAGAGACAGAGAGACAGAGAGAAACAGAGAGAGAGACAGAGAGAGAGAGAGAGAGAAAGAGAGAGAGAGAGAATTGCTTTTGGGAAGTATCAACTGATGTATTTGCTGTTGTCTTCTGCCACTGGCAGCTGTTGGTCTATTGATGGATGCATATGCTCTTTGTTCAGTGATCTTGTGTTGTTAGCCACAAATCAGTCATGGAGATTTACACTACCAAATCAGCAAGCACAATGTGCTGCTTAGAAAAGTATGATTAAAAGTTTGACTACTATGCTGATGTCACGATGAGAAAGGTGGGCCATTAGAAATGAAGTCATTGGGACTGGTGAGATGGCTCAGTGATTAAGAGCATTGCTGCTCTTCCAGATGGACCTGGGGTTCAATTCCTAGCACCCACACGACAGCTCACAATTCCACTTCTAGGGGATTTGAAACCTTCACACAGACATAAATGCAGGCAACACACCAATGAACATGAAATAAAAATAAAGTTTTAAAAGAGGCATTCACTACTATGCCAGGGCGGTTTAAAAGAAACGAAAGCATTTTGTGTGTTCGAATGCTAAAACAGAATTTAGTTTTATTTCACTTATAATAACTGTGTGTGTACATTTTTTAAAAGCCGGAGACAGTAAGAGAGAGTGAGGGGGCTTGTGAGCTGCATGAGCCTTGCCTCTAACCTGCCCTTGGGCAGGACATAGTAAAGGAAGTTTGGATCTAGGCCATGCAGAGTTGTGAATGCTGAAGGGTTTCCTTTGAAAAGCTAAGAATGGAGGAAGTACCTGGGCTCTGAGGATGCTGAGCAGGGTCTTCTACCCTGTAGGCTAGAAGGCCAATGTCACCGC